GGTGCGAGGTCTTGGGGTCTGGGGGGCGACCGAGGCGGGCGCCCGGCAGCGGAGAGTGGGCCTATCGCTGAAGGCCACAGCAGAACCGCGGCGACGGCTGGCCTGCCAGCGCCCTCCCACGTGCTGCAGCCTCTTTTTTTTTTTTTAATGTATTTTTTTCTTGTAGTTAGACTCAACACCTTTATTTTATTAATTTTTATGTGGTGCTAAGGATGGAACCCAGGGTCTCACACGTGCTAGGCTAGAGTGCTCTACTACTGAGCCACAACCCCATCGATATTTTTAGGTTCTTATCCAAAAAAAAAAAAAATTGCCTATAACAATGTTTTAAATTGTCTATTTTCTTATGCTAGTTTTAGTTCTTACTTGTTTAGGCCCTTGATCCATTTTGAGTTGATCTTGTGTGCTGTGTGTGCTACTAGGGATTCCACACAGGGCCTTACGCATGCAAGGCAAATGCTTTAGCACTGAGCTACACACTCCTAGCCTTTTAATTATTTTGAGACAGAGTTTCTCTAAATTGCCTAGATTGGCCTCAATCTTGTGATCCAACACAACTGACATGAGTTGATATTTTGTATATGGTGAGAGGTAGGAGTCTAGTTTCATTCTTCTGCGCATATATATTTTTTTTTCCTTTTTTTTCTTCTTCTGTTGGTACTATATTTTTTAATCTAGAGGTGCTTTATCACTGAGTCATATCCCTAATCTTTTTTTTGTTGTTGTTATTTTGAATAGGGTCTCACTAAGTAGTTGAAGCAGTCCTTGAACTTACAATCTTCCTGCTTCTGCCTTCCAAATCTTGGGGATCACAGGTGTGTGCCACTGCTCTTAGCTTGTATATCTAGTTTTCCAAATACCATTTATTGAACAGGCTATCCTTTTTTCACTGTATGTTCTTGGCACTGCAATATGCAATTCACTGGAGAGACAAACTGCTCAGGTGAAGATGATTACAGCAACACAGTAATTTAGGCAGATATTCATAATAGTTAAACTCACTGCAATAGTATCAAGAAGTAGCTATGAAATTATTAAAGTAGTTCCACATATGCTATAGTTAACTTTATGCTGTTATGATTTAATACTGCATTTTTATGTTTGTTTATATTTCTCTCAATAGTAAAGGCAGCCTTGTACATTTTTTCAGTATCTTTGATCAGTTTTAACTTTTCAAAATAGATTGTGTATATTTTATGGTGATAAATGATAAAATAGACTTTTATATACATGTATTTTATGCATTCATGCTACACCTTATTTAATTTTTTCAATATTTTTAGGCTACATGATTTGTCTTTTAAGTTTTTATCAAAGTGTTGTAAATCTCAAAAAAAAATTTGTGTGTATGTGTATAAATGGACCCAGATAGTTCAAAACTATGTTGATCAAGGGCCAACTGTACGGTGAACAGAACCTTGGAGGAACATGAGACACAATTGAGTATACCAATATAAAAATAATGAAGATTTAAGAAGAAACAGGAATAGAAAAAAATACCCAAATAAAGAATGGCTAAATACTTTAAAAATTTGATAAAAACACTAATCTACATATCAAAAAAAGCTCAAGGATTTCCAAGGAGAATAAAGGCAAATACCCAAAATCATCACAGAAACCAGTGAAAGACACAAACCTTGAGAATAGAAAGAAAAAAATAATTTGTCAAAAAAGAAATCAAATAAGAGTAACAGATAACTTATGAGCAGAAACTGTGGAAGCCAGAAGGCAGTGGGATGGCATATTTAAACTACTGAAACAAAAAGCTATCAACCATGAATCTTCTTTTCCTCCAGTAGTAGGGATTGAACACAGGGCTCTTATTAAATTGCAGAATCTAGCCTCAAACTTGAGATTCTCCTGAGTTGCTAGAATTACAGATATGCATTACCATGACTGACTGGGAATCTTTTATGAATCAAAACTCTTTCAAAAGTGAAACCAAAAAGATATCCCAAAATGTCTAAACAAAAGCTGAGAGAATTTATTGCTAGCAGACCTGTTATTCTAACAAGAAAAACAAATGAAAGTTCTTCAAGTCTAAAGTAAATGACCCCAAAAAGTAATTTTATCTGAGTGAAGAGAAACAAAAGAACACAGATAAAGGTAAATATATAATTATAAAACATTATAACTGCATCATTTTCTCCTTTATTCTCTTACATGATTTAAAAAGCAACTGTATAAAACAAGATATATATATAATTGCATTGTTGTACCTAAATAGAAATGGAATATAGGAGGCAGATGGGAGCAGAAATTTCTTGCAGTAAAAAAGTGACACCAGATGACAACTCAAATCCATAAAAGCAAATGGAGAGAACAAGAAATGGTAAATAAGAAGGTAAGATAACTATAAAGAAAAGCTTGTTTTCTTTTCCTACCTCAGCTTCTTAAAAGACATAACATACAAAGTAATAATATAATAATGTATCACTGAGTTTCTATAATAATAAAAACAGCACTAAAAAAAGAAAGCAAAAATATAGTACTTAAAATGGGAAGAATTATTTAGGAGTAATGTTTCTGTTTCACTGGAATCCAATTAGTATAAATCTTAAGTCAACTGTGATAACTTACCATGATTATTATAAGCCCAAAAGCAACTAGGAAGAAAAGAACTAAATCAGGCACAGTGGCACATGCCTGTAATCCCAGTGTCTCAGGAGGCTGAGGCAGGAGGACAGCAAATTCAAGTCCAGCCTCAGCAATTTAGCAAGATCTTGACTCAAAATAAAAAATAAAAAGGGTTGGAGATGGGACTCAGTGGAGAGCACTTACAAAGCATGTGTGAGGAGGCACTGGGTTCAATCCTCATCACCACATAAAAATAAATAAAAATACTATGTCCATCTACAAATTTTTTGGTGGGGCGGGGCAGTACAGGGATTGAACTCAGGAGCATTCGACCACTGAGCCACATCCCCAGACCTATTTTAGATTTTATTTAGAGACAGGGTCTTAATGAGTTGCTTGGTGCCTCACTTGCTGAGGTTGGCTTTCAACCTGAGATGCACCTGCCTCAGCCTCCCGGGCTGCTGGGATTACAGGCGTGCATCACCATGCCTGGCCACTCTGTCATTTTAAATAAAGGGCTGGGGATGGAGCTTAGTAGTAAAGCATCCCTGGATTCAATCCTAAAAGGAAAGAAGAAAGGAAGATAGAAGTGGAAAACATCATTAAGGGGACCAAAATATGAAACTAGAAAATATTCACTTAATGCAAAAGGAAAAACAAAACGAACAAGAAAACAAGCCAGGTGTGGTGATGTACACCTATAATCCCAGCAACTTGGGAGGCTGAGGTAGGAAGATCACAAAGATCAGCAACTTAGTGAAGCCCTAAACAATTTAGCAAAACCTGGTCATAAGATAAAAAGTTAAAAGGAGCTGAGGATGTGACTCAGTGGTTAAACACCCCTGTGCTCAAGCCCCAGTACCAAAAACTGAGAAAAAAAAAAACAAAAAGTAAAATGTAGAGGTAAAAACAACTGTGTCGATGATACTAACATGTAAACAAATTAAATAATCTCAACAATAGGTGGAGATTGTCAGATTAAGGAGAACCAACTGTGTTTACAGAGGACATACTTTAGTGTCAATGATACAGCAAGGCTGAAAGTAAAAAAAAAAAAAAAAGGGGGGCGGTGGGAATGACAGCATGCAAACAACCATCATAAGAATTACACTGGCCTTCTCTTCAAAAACCTTGCAGACAAGAAGAGAGCACTGTGAAATATCCCTTTGGATTAGAAACCACATTCAATCAGATATTTTGTTGGCCCAGGTACTTTGTCCTTTAGATATTCAGAAGTGAGTCAATTTAAAAATCAGAGAAAATAAGAACAAAGAGGTTACAATAGACTCCAAATTTTAATATACATAATAATTACCTAGGGATTCCCAGAATCCATCCGCAGAAAACTTGATTAAGCAAGTCTAGGTTAGGGTCTGGAACATCCATTTTGTTTTTGTTTGTGATAAATAGTTCACAAAATCTAGATGTGAGTGTCTATGGACGTAACAGTCCCTAAAACAACTATGAAAGGTTTAGAGATCTCAGTAATCAGACCTTTATAGGATTCAAGTTGCTGTCAAAGAAATGCTCAGGAGTATCTGTGTTTTTAAACTAACTTTGGCCTATAAAATCTTACTAATAAAAAACATTCTTGGAAGGAATTTCTTCCAATTCAAAGGCTGCTGATCATCAAGATACCAAATAAGCCTCTGTCATTATAGATATGAGAAATGACTGCCAATACTTTAAGATTATACATCTGAGTTGTTTTAAGCCACCAGTTTGTGATGATTTATCACAAGAGTAATAAGAAACTAATGCATATACTTACAAATTACCTGCCTAAAAAGAAACTAGATTTTTCTTACCTATATCCATAGGCCGTTCTGTATTTAAGCTATCAGTGCTGCCCTGGTGTCCACCTAAAGATGCCTTTACTTGTTGATCTGATAACTTCCCAGTACTGACAGATCTAAAAAGAACAGTGATGCTATTAATGAGAAATTCACTTTTTAAAAATAGAAGTTTTAATAGAACATTAGAAAGCAAGGAAACAAAAAGTAGATGCCAAACAATTCAAGGTAAAGATAAACTTCCATAACAAAAATAAAAGACAGGGGCTGGGGTTGTGGCTCAGCGGCAAAGCGCTCGCCTAGTGCATGTGAGGCCCTAGGTTCAATCCTCAGCACCACATAAAAATAGATGAATGAAGCAAAGGTACTGTGTCCAACTATAAGTAAAAAATAAATAAATAAAATAAAAGACAGAAATAAAATGTTAAAATTCAGGGAAAAGCTCTGTATTCACACAGTTATAGTAAGTTTTCGGACCCTCTGAAGTTCACCATGTGCATTAACAATCATATAGCTTATGCTGGCTACTAATGTAGTCTGGTTGCTTTCATAACAAAAATGTCCTCATTTTGCTATTTCAGTTTTCATTTTTAAGATTAGAGAAAAAACAATATCTTACCTGCCAAATACTGCTTTGTTCTGTTGTTCAAATCGATGCCTCTCACTTCCTTGTACCAAAAGGCAATGGGAACATTCCCGTGGGTCATTCCCATCTTTGGACTGCCCTTCAGCAGGCCCATGACGAGTAACCAAGGCTAACAGGTTGGAAGACGCTTGTGTTTTAGGGATTTTGAAAGGAGCTGTGGTCTAAACAAACATATGTAAACTAGTTAATATGATGTATAAATTTTGGCAGGCTTTGAAGTTAGTCAGACTGGATTCAAACACTGGCTCTTCCATTTACAGCCTGTGTGATCTTGGACAGTTCTTTAAGCTCTCTAAATCTCAATTTCCTTTTCTGAAGATTAATGAGATCATGCACATAAAGCATTCAACAAATATTTACACAGTGCCTGATGCATAGTAAGTAAGTGCTCATTAAAATTATGGTTATCTTGTATTCTTTCCATAAAGTACTAAAGCAGTTCATGATCTACAAAAAGATTTAAGGAACACACCTTAGTAGGAGAACCAATGATTGTTGGTAAAGGAGTTTTAAAGAACCAATCAGAACTCCGTGGAGAAGATCCCATATGCTTGGTGGGAGATGTTCCAAGGCTGCCAGGCCGACTGGGCTGAGGTGAGTAGTTGTATCCAGCCCCAGTATGGGATGGGCACACAGGGTCAGAGTGCTGTTTTCTTAGCTTCTGTTTGTTCTGATAGATGTCAGTAAGGGTAGGGGCGCTCTGCAGTCTAGCACCCAATAAGAGAGACTGTGGTGACTGAGCCTGTGGCACTGGAGAACCTACCAAGAAAATGAATGAAAAGGTTAACCAATAGTGAAGTATACAGCAAAAACTTAGGAAACAAGAGGGCAAGTTTTAAAATGATAATTCTAATGAATGTCTTATTCTTTTTAAAGTATTTTTAGTTGTAAATGGGACACAATACTTTTATTTATTTATTTTTATGTGGTGCTGAAGATCAAACCCAGTGTCTCATACGTACTAGGCAAGTGCTCTATCTCAGAGATACATGCCGGGCACGAGATGAAATATATTGATGATGAATATATGAGCTATTTTTATCAAGAGCTAACAATTCAGATTAATGCAAGGTCTAAAAGGATTATGTAGTAAATAAAGTTAATGAAAACAACAAAAGGCAAAACTGAATTTCTGTTCTTGTTTTTTTTGTTTGTTTTGTTTGTTCTGTTTTGTTTTTTTTTTGGTTCTGGGGATTGAACTCAGGGGCACTCAACCTCAAGCCACATCCCCAGCCCTATTTTGTATTTTCTTTAGAGACAGGATCTTACTGAGTTGCTTAGTGCCTTGCTAAGTTGCTGAGACTGGCTTTGAACTCAAAATCCTTCTGCCTCCTGAGCCTCTGGGATCACAGGCATATGCCACAGCACCTGGTTATTGGTTATCTATAATGATTCATTTTAACATAATTTTAAACACAGAATTTAATTTGCTCTAATTCAGTCTCTAGTGCTTCCCTTTTCCTTCCTCTCCTTCCTGACCTGTTTCCTTCCCTCTATTCTATTGATCTTTCTGCTATTATTATTTTTTTAATTAGTGTCTTGTGGATTCACATGAGACTCACTGTGGTATATTCATATACGTACATAGGAAAGTTAGGTCAGATTGATTCCACTGTCCTTCCTTTATCCCATCCCTCTCCCTCCCTCTCAATCCCCTTCCTAAACTCCATGATCTTCTGTTTTGATGGAATTCCCACCTCCCATCTTTTAATTTTCCCCCCTTTTTTTTGGATTAACTTCCACATATTAAAAAAAAGAAAAATTCACCCTTTAATTTTCTGAATCTAGTTTATTTCATTTAGCATGATAGTCTCCAGTTCCAACTATTTACCAGTAAATTCCATAATAAAATTTCACTTTCTAAATTATCATCTGTGTAACAATGACCAAAATTTATCTAATTGTCTAATTCCTTAGACTATTTTCTTTATTTTTTTAATATATATGTTTTTATGGCTTTATTTTATTTATTTTTTATGTGGTGCTGAGGATCGAACCCTGTGCTAGGCAAGCGCTCAAGATTCTAAAAATCAGGATAGCATTGGAAATATTTCTTACCAATGCTGTCCTTTTGATAAGGCTAGAAATACAAAATTAGTCCATTCATAATAAAATTCAAATTTCTAATATACCAAATGTATTTTCCTACCTGAAGAGTTTCTACTTCTGGATTCATGGCCCTGAGAATGTCCACAACAGCACTGACTAAACTGCTCAGGAATGGTACCAACTATGAAGTGAGACATGGAGAAAAGAAGAATAAATTATTCAAAAAAACTAATTAAGAATGGAAACAGGCAATGCATGCAAAAATTCCTTGGTACATAATTTGTAAAAATGTAATTATCAAAAATTTAGTTGAACCAGTACTTACTGAATAACCAATATGCCAGGCAGTAGGTAAGCTAAGATAAAAAGTACCATTTACATCCATCCTTGAAACAAAATCATTAGGAAAAAAGTCTAAATAAATAAATAAATGTCTATATAGACATGTAAGAGTTTATACAAAATGCTTAGGGATTGTGGAGTTGCAGGACACAGATGACAGCCTAGCAGCTGTCCCTATGGATTCACATTTATCTGAAGCCAGGCTTCCCCCAGGGGTCAACAACTGATTCAGGCATGTTGAGAGTGGGTCATAGAATTCCTCTGATAGACCAGTGCTTAGGACTACTCCCATAGTATGGTTAAACCTTTCTTAGACCTGTGCTATAGTCTCAGACTTTTCTTGCCTTATTGTCTCCCTTATTACTCTCCTTTCCCAGGTGTCAGACCCTCCCTGGCTCCCTACTTTCCTCAGCCTCTTACATATCTAATACCTTCTTTGCATCCACCTTCCTGAAAACCCAAACTGACACAGAGAGAGATTCAGGGACAGTACCAGGGAATTTAAATAGACAAGAGTCATATCTATAACAAGAAGGAGCAATGTCCAGGTGATAAAGCAAAAAGCAGAGATTAGATACTAAGGACCTTTTCATTGACATGCAAGGATAATCTTTGTCTTTGGAGACCCTGGAGTGCAAAGATTTTGTTTAAAGATTTTTCAGCTGAAATCATTGCAATAAGTGATAAGGCAATTTAAACATTACACACAAACACACACACACACACACACACACACACACACACACACACACACACACATATCATCATCATCATCATCATCATCATCTTGGGGTTCCTGGGGGACTACCTACAACCCTGCTCTGTCTACTAAGATTTCAGCAGCTTTAACTATAGATGGGGCTCCTCTGTACCACCTGTTCTTCCCACTACCTCATAGTGTTTCTCACAGATACTGCCCTCAGTGGCTTTGTTCTCACCCATTTTCTGAGTTTGAGCATTTTGACTCTTACATTTCACTATTTGGTCTCTTTGGTTTTCGGCTTGATAGGGTTTCTTTTGTTGCTCTGTTTAAGGTTCTTTCTGTTTCCAAAATCATTTTCTAGGCAAAATGGGGAGATATGTAACAAAGCTGCTACTATACTCCTATTATAGCTGGAAGGTGTGTAGTGAATGTGACTCAGAGATGCAATGTTAATTCTCATGTGTCTGAGCAATAAGAAAGATAGGCATTTTATGCACTTTAATCTAGAGTTTCTAACATTGAATTTGGATGCCAAAGCCAATGAGGATGCTTTTGACATGTAAAATTAATTTATATTATTATATTTTCAACATCAATCCTAACAGATTTATGTAGAGATTCTCAAGGAGGAACTGGGAATAGGGTAGTGCAGGAGGGATGGCCTCAAATCAGCTCAGAATCACAGCCATGATGAATCGATGTCCCTAAAAATAATAGTTCATACCAAATTTGTTACAGAGCAGAAAAGATTAAAAAACAATTGCTTTAAACTCTCCTTACCCAAAGGGGAAGGTGAATAAGGCCTAGAAGACCCAATAGACAGTCTTCGTCCAACTGTCTGAGCTGTGTCTGCTGGTGCAGGGGAGCCAGATCCCAACCGGAGGAAGCCCATGGGGCTGGTATTAGACCTTCGTACCACAGCAGATCTAAAGAGAAAAAGAAAATTATTCCTTCTCTGGTAGGTTCTAGGATTTCTTCTTTATTTCTGTTTTTTTTTCCCCCTCCCTGAAATTTTCTAACAATAAGCCACAAAGAAGAGCTTTTAAAAACAGGTAACAGTCACATGGAACAAATATAAAATATAAAATGGTATAAGGTAAAGTCTACCTATCCCCACTGATAAATTCTAAATATTTTCCCAATCTACTGGAAAGGTTACCACTGTTTTTATAGTATATCTTTCCTGAGTTCCTTAATGTACACACAAGCATTTTCACCTTGTTTCAACACCAAAGGTGATATATTACATACCAATTATTTTCTTTTTTGGGTGGGGGGCAGTTACCAGAAATTGAACTCAAGGGCACTGGACCACTGAGCCATGTCCTCAGCCCTATTTTGTATTTTATTTAGAGACAGGGTCTCACTGATTTGCTTAGCACATCACTGTAGCTGAGGCTGACTTTGAACTCACAATCCTCCTGCCTCAGCCTCCCGAGGCGCTGGGATTACAGGTGTGTGCCACCGCACCTGGCTACCAATTATTTTCAATCTTCTGGGTCTTAGGTCCAAAGATCCCAGAGCATTTTGTTTATGTAACCTTATGTATTGATCTTAATGTATTCAAAATAAAATTCAGAAATTTAAAATTTTATAAATTCACTAAAAATAATTAACATTACATTTAACATAATATTATGAAAATATGTATATTTCTAAAACAAATTAGCATGACATTATTATACATTTCTGCAAATCTCTAATATCTGCTTTAACAGAAGACTTTTGGATTTTCACAACTGATTCTGCAGTCTGTTACACAATATGTCATTCTAAGGTAAGTTTTCCATGAAGAAGATCCAGCCTAACACACATATGTAAAGAAAAAGGAAGGAGTATTTCAGTCTTTTCAAATCAATGATACTCTTCTTTTTGGTACTAAACCAAACCTCAATAAGTGTTGGTTTTATCTAAAAGATTAGTTTGGTTGCAATGTGGAATCTGAAACTATCTCCTTGAACTCTTTTTTTTTTAAACAAGGGACTGAACCCAGAGGCACTTAACCACTGAGCCACATCTCTAGCCCTTCTTTATATTTTATTTAGAAACAGGGTCTTGCTGAGTTGCTTAGGGCCTAAGTTGTTGAGGCTGGCTTTGAACTTGTGATCCTCCTGCCTCAGCTTCCTGAGCTGCTGGGATTACAGGTGTTATGGGCCAAATTATATGTGCCTTGACCAGACAAAATCCATTTTACCCCAAGACTCCACTTAATATAAGAAATGCTTCTCCCATGAGAAAACACTGCCTCTGCCACCTCCTGCTGAGCACACACATAACAATGTATGGCAGTTAAAAAAATTTTTATGTATTATTAAGAAATATATTTCTAATATGTTCTTTTTTTGTTCCCATTTTTCTTGGGCAGTGTACTATACCCTGAACTGGATCATTCAGACCTACTTCCTAGGCTGCTATGATGTTGACTTACTGGTAGCTTGTAGGTTTTGGCTATAAAGAAGATACCCTGCCTTGTGCAAGGGGGGTCAAGGGGAGCAAAGTCGACTTGGTTACCATCCCTTGGCCTGCAAGCGAATAAAGTCCCATGTCCTTCTTCAAGACTGACTCAGTGATTTATTTCAAACATACCACAACATTTAGTCAGGGTTATGGCTTCCAGGCACACAGGGATTTAGAGGCACCCTCCTTTCTATTTGTGGGATCTCTTGGTCTTCTGAGGGTCTAGGCTTTCTGTAGTGACCGATTTGAGCTTGCCCATGAGGGAGGATGTACAACTGCATGTGTTTGGAGGTACCTCATCTGTTCTCTCCTTTTGTGTTTCGAAGGGTGTATGAGGAGATCCAGGGCTGTGACCCAGAGGGCCGATAAACAGACTGTGATCTTCATGGTCTGACATCTGGGTATTGGAGGAAAGAGTGTCTTATCCATGCTCTGTCTCTTATCTAAATCCAGAGAGCCAGTGAATAGACCATGGTGACAGTCTGGTGTCTGGGGGATGGAAGACAGGATATTGGTCTGTTTGTCCATGTCTGTCTCTGTTCATCCACATCTGTTTGTTCATGAATTTCTGCCTATTGTTTTAATTGTTAGTCTTGTCATGGGAAACCTAATCCAAACCTGGCCTGATTACCAACTGAGAAAAAAAAAAATGGTTAAAAAGCCCTAGCTCATACATCAGACACTAGAAAGGCAATATGTCAATCAATGGAAGGGTAACTGATGTGAAACAACAATCTGTATACGGGGTAAAGTTGGGAGTTCATAACCCACTTGAATCAAACTGTGAAAGATGATGTATTAAGAACTGTGTAATGTTTTGAACGACCAACAATAAAAAAAAAAAAAAAAAAAAGCCCTAGCTCACTAAAGCTTACATTGGAAAGTGAACAACTGCTGACAGACTCAGCAGGGGACCAATCTGAAAACTTCTCCCTGGCTACAGCTCAGGGAGAAAAATGATTTCAGTTGTCTTTCTCTGTCACTCTCTTTCTCACTCTCTCATGCTAAAATAATTAACAGCCATATCATTTTATCTAGGAAAAAAACTCTCAGGCCTACATTTGGCTTTTGTCTCTTAGTCAACCCCAGATATTCACAGAAAACTCCAAAACCTTAAAGGATTTGCAGTCATGAATACCTCTCAACTATTAGAGGCGGCCCAAAGGTTTTTCAACAATCATGACAGCCCAGCTGATAAAGCTGCAAAACACCAGGATAAAAATTTTGGTGGCTGCTGTCCAAGAGACCAGACAAACCAGTTTAGAATCAGATTTAAAAAAGAGAGAGAGAAAGAAAGATATATACTTCTGGGCCCCCATGAGTCCACAAGCCCTCATTTCTTTTCTTGAACTCTTTTCACCTCTGATGAGCAAGACTACAGAGGACAGAGGCCTGGTAGGCTTTTAAAATTCTGTATTTTTTGAGCTCATAATTTTGATCCAGCATGCCTAGGTTAATGTGTTTTTCTGATCAGACCTATTTTATACAACTATACAGGTTCTTTTTTACATTCTGCTTCATTCAGAGGCCAATTTTTTCTTTTTTTTTCAGATTTGGTATATCCATTGGACAGAATAGGCACAATGCCTAAATCCAACGGAAATGTTTTATTTTGAAATCCTACAAAAAATAAATAAATGCACTCTGTCATAAATTATATTTATCTTCATACCAGCCAAGTAGCAAAATGTAACTTTTAAGCTTCTTTGCACAGGAAGGAGCCCATGAAGAAAGAATAAAGTGTCTAAAACTTTCTAAAGTCACAGGCCAATTTACAAGGGTTAGCTCTCAATCTGATAGGTTGGTGTGAGTAGACTATGCATACAACCAGAGATATGAAAAATTGAGCTCTATATAGGTAAAAATTGTAAGGCATTCTACTGTTATGTATAAATTTAAAAATTAATTAATTCAAAAAAATAAACTACAAGGCCTTTGTTTTGTGTGTGTGTGTGTGTGTGTGTGTGTGTGTATATATATATATTACACCAGTTAATTGTCATGTCTACATGTGTTTAGAAAATATAAAAGGGTTTAAAATTGCTTTGTGCCATCATTGGGAAAAAGGTAACTAAAAGTTAAAAGTCCCAACAGGTATAAACAAATAAAAGTCAAGATATCTTTAAAGTTACTAACACACAGTTTGTATTTTTTTTTCTAGATGGTCAAACAACTGATAAGTTGTTGATGTCTACAAAATGTCTAATATCCATTGTTTCTAGGATTTTTCTTCAATAAGGAAGAGATGGCTGATGCTGTTCAATACACTTGTCTGATATCTTGGTTTTTAAAAATAAGTAAATTATATTTGACATACCTGAGATTAATCATAAATGTATTTGTTAAAAACATCTGATTAATTTAGGGAAAGTTAAAATACTATTACTCTTAACTCCTTAAATTCTATAGGGTAATGTACTTAAATATTATTGGTATTTTCACAAACTGATAATAAAAAAATGTTCTAGGTATTAAAATATATTTAATAAAATATGGGAATAAAAACACTTCTAGGTAAGAAAGTCTTTGTGTGGTAAAAATAAAGTTGTAATACATCTACATAAACAAGAGAGTCTAATTATGTGATAAAAAGGTCTGTATAAATAAAAGGCAAATTTCAAAAAAAAAAAAAAGGTTTGTGTGTAACTAAGTTGATTATAAGTAACACAAATCAGTTAAAGCTCCAGGTTTTTCCCCAAGATCAAATATTAATGTACTAATATAAACCAAAGTTTAATCTATCTGTTAAAATAACAAGAATTTCTTAAAACAGTAATTTACTCCTAACATTGTTTCTGTTATATTTCATTCTCTAGAGCAACTAGTCTGAAAAAATTAGGGTTTGTACAACTCTGATTAAACAACAACTATTATTTTAGAGTATTATACATTACAAAGTCTAAATTTTCTTTAAAAGCTAAACTAGGTTAATAAAAAACATCAATGTAATTATGATGCTATTAATCTTCTTTACATATTAAATGTATTCATATCTTCCAGGTATACACGTCTTTAAAATAAAAGGTTTAAAAGAGCTTTTGGGAACATTTATAAAATGGTATCTAAGAAAGAGGCAAAGATCAGTGGTTGAGTGCTCACCTTGCACATGTGAGGCACTAGGTTTAAACCTCAGCACCACATAAAAATGAAATAATGATTTTGTGTACACCTACAACTAAAAAATAAATATTTTTTTAAAAAGAGCATTTTATCAAGCTGGTGTTCTCCAAACTGAAGTAGTCTGTAATGGTAATTTTAGGCTTATAAAAATAACAAGTTTAATTGGAGATTTATTTATATCATTTAATATTCTGTAATCAATGTTCTGTAATCAATGGGATATAAAAAATTTAAAGGTATTTTCAAAAGACAAGAGAGATTGATCTGTTTAAAGGTTAAAAATGTAAAACAAAAATATTTTGCCACTTTTCCACACAAAAGAAAAACTTAAAAGCTCTCTCAGCCTTTG